AAGAAAAAAAAGCCCCCAGATTTCTCGATATGAGCCTTCCAGTGCCTCTTTTCGCAGATCCATAGTTTCCCACCATCTCGGGAACGACTACCTTCAGGAAATATGTGAACCCATCCCCCGCGGTTCAGTTTCGAAATAGCCAGGTCCATACCCTGCAGAAGCAAGAAATGAATGAGCAGAAGCTTTATCTTAAAACAAGAACAATAAATTAGCTTCCTAAAGCAAAAACAATTCAGAAGTCACAACTCTTTCAGTCTATAGAACCAATTGGCCGAAAAGACAAAATAGAAGGATTCAACAAATATAAGTTAGGGACACTTGCAGAAATCCTGCAAAGTTTGGTTTAACCTACAGGACTACACTACTTCCATTGACACTATGACACTAATGTTAATGTACATTGTACGTACACACCTGTCACTAGAATTACATTTTTTTTTTTATGGAGTATGCACCCTTTAGTTTATCCTATTAAAATAATAAAACATCATCAGTTTTTCAATACTCTATTTTCTATAATCCAAACTACATGTCCAAAAACAAATTCTAGTCCATGACACTCTACTTGCAAACTTTATACTTGCTCTCAAGCCTGCATATTCAAGTTAACTTCGAAATTGGAGTTCTCGACCTTGGTAGTTGATTGATTACTCAAGACTCATCTAACAGTCCCACTAATATATAATTCCGGAAATGAAGTGTGTTTACCTATTATATTTACACAAAACTCCATGAGAGTCTGCTTTATTATCCTTATAAAGTCCATGAATCATTGTGGCCCCAGTGAGCAGTACAAATAACTCAAAAAACAACTTATCACTATTATCAGTCTAATTATGAAAACATGTACTCAAAGTCGTGTTCCTCTTTTAAAGAACGGGCATCAAAAGATAAACAAAATAAGGGAACTCAACATCGAACTAATACATCATCAACAACAATTGATATACAATCACGAAACTTGCATAGTAAATGCAATTATTCTGGGCAAATTAGAAGGTTTAAAGAAACATAGTTTAGAACCACAAGGATCAAATACCTTTTGATAAATCCCATCCCCGCGAGAAACTGGCAGTACTTTCACATACTTGAAGAATGCTGATGTAACTGGATTCTTGAAACATCTATCCGATGCACACAGAGTCCACCTCAAGCCATTTGCATCTAACAGCATGCTAGGCGGAAGCAGGGAAGCAATAACTAAAGGATCATCCATGGCTGCAACATGATTGCTAACCTAAAAACAGTAAATAGGTTACTGTGAGTAGACAAATTAACACTTCAATGTGATAGCAACAAACAAAGAAAAGATGTTACTGACGAAAGCAGGGTTACTGTAGAATATCTCATGAGTTACTGTAGCATAGCTCATCAGATTTTGCAAAGGAAGAAAACTATCTAACAGTCAGTGAAACCCTTGATGCTATTTTTCACTCTTCTTTTTCCTCTTAATTGTTTTTTATTTCAGATAACTTTCTCCCTCTTCTATTGGTTTCTTCCTTCTCCTAGCACCTATCATCTCTCTTTATGCTGCTGCCCCTTCAACTTTTTCTTGTCTTCTCTAAATTATTTTTATTCTTCTCTAGCTTTCTTTTACTTGTTTTATATAACTTGACTAAACTGGCTAAAATAATTGCTGAATTTGCTACAAATGCGAAATTATCGGAGAGCAAGTTCTTTTCTTATCAATATAGTTATTTATTTGTGTACTACATAGTTGAAATATGTAGCATTGTGGGCACATAATGGAAATGACTTAAATGTGCCCTTCACATCAATAAGGTGTGTATCGCCACACCATATAACCAGGGAACCTAAAGCCTTGTACAACTATAATTTGATCATTATCATAAGTACAATACATAGACTATCACATCATAAGGGGATCCAGTGTTGCATACCTTAATCAGACACTTGTTCATTATCATAAGTACAATACATAGATTATCACATCATAAGGGGATCCAGTGTTGCATACCGTAATCAGAGACTTGTTCTCTGGCCTATGCAGCAGTACATTTTGTAATTTTTCTGCTCCAAATATCTGAACAGCAACAGAAGTCAAGCTGTTTTCCCAAATACATACACAAAGAGAAAAGGTAAATAGCTCAAACATGAGGAAATTTGGATTTACCTGGACACGGTTCAGGCCATGCATGAAAACATGGCAAACATTTCCAATCACAGGAGCAGCAACGGCCTGGAGCATGCGGGTCACGGCCGAATCATCTTCTGCGTCAATATCCTTACTCACTGCATGGAAAACTGAAAGATTAGGCATCGATAGAGCTACTTAGATTCCATTTAAGCCAAAAAAACTAAGTGAACACAGGCACATAGATGGAACTACCAAGTCTTTATTTGGCGATTATGACAATATAATCAAGCTTTTTCAAATATTTGGGATTTAGGTTTCACCCCATGATAAAAACAGGGGGAACTGGGTTTTAATTAACCCCTATTATTACACAATCCTATAAAGGATATTAACAAATACAATCATTGTATGATTAATCTCAAACATAAGATAACCATATGGACAATGTAACCCTAACCAATTCAATCAATCTTATCAATCACATCAACATTCGCAAACGAGACCTAAGAGATAAACTTAATACCATTGAACAGATAATGTCGTGACTACCAGTCAAAAGAACTATTTCCCAAACCAAGCTCTACCAAAGTTCAAATATATTCAACTATATCATGGTTTAAGACATATTCACGAAGGCAGAATATTTTATGCATCTTTAATTTGAATCTCCTCCCTCCCAAACCCCTTCTTCCTCCCTCGCGCGAGGCATTTTATGGCATTACTTCTCTCTAAGGACATGCATACCATAGTTGAAGCATATATACTCGTCCGCAATGACTTTTCAGCATTTTGAGCAAACATTTCATGGCGCTTAGATAGACTTTTAAGAATTTTTCCTCTCAGAATTATTTGTCTTGAAAAGATGATGTTCAGATCCCATAAAAATGCAAGCTGTATGTTACAGCTTGCACCATCGAGAACCCCTGAAACTTAAGTATCCGAAGAGATCAACTGACTTATTAATGTAACTACGACAAAGAATTACCAAAACCACACCATGAAATTTGAAATGCCACTCAACCAAATCAAAGAAACAACAGTTACAACTAACTATTTAAGCTTACAAAGCATAATAAAAAAATTACCACCAAAAAATCTACTTCACCACTATCATTACGGAAGAAAGAACTGGGATAAAGCAACCCCAAAATCAAAATCCAAAAGGCAAGTTTTGACAGCCTCATGATAAACAACAATCCATTTCAGCCCAATCTTTATGAGAGAAAACATTGGATAAAGCAATCCAAAGATCAAGAACCAAAAGTGCAAGTTTTACTTAATAATAATATCAGACCTTACTTCTGAACACAGACTTGAAGATAATGACTGTTGCCGAGGATATGCTCATATCAGCTCCCTCAGCTATCAAACTTTGCAACCTCTACTCCCTATAACTGCCAAATCTAGTCATTTACATATGATTAAAACTAGTAAAAAATTGATGAAGACAACATCCACCCTGGACTGCTTTAATGTGAAATTGACTATTGAGCATCATGCATTCATTCACCAACTGCTCACTATTGACATTTGCTACAAGAAGCTGGCAAAAGCACTTTGTGAAGGTTCACATATTACCAATCATTCTCTTACCATCTATCTTATTTTCATCAGCGAATGTTTCTATTCATACTTTCAACAAGGTCGCAGTTTCCAGAAATCGAGTCTGCGCATTTCTCAACCTAGAGAGTTTAACTTTTAAGAATAAATATTGAAGAGTGAATCAGTATCTTCCATTAACCTGTTTTTGGCACCAAAGTCGCAATAATTCACCATACAGACATACGATATCTAATACAAATGTAACTATCATAATTAGCAAAGCCAAAACTGTGCACTGATTTATGAACCCCCTTCCTTCTCAAATAACATATATCGATATCATGCAACCCTGACTACCACACACTAAGATTGTGAATTAACAGACGCTTCATATCAACATCAAAGATCAGTGGCTACACTGAAAAGGTATGCGATTATGATATCAAATCAATAGAATCACAATTATTATCTAATCACTCCATCAATAACATGAAAAGCATACGAGACCAGAGGAACATGCATGTAAACAGTCATTCAATCCTCAAAACTGCAACAAAAGTTCAAGATTTTCATTATTACCTCCTTTCAAAATTGATAACTTGTATTTCGTTACTCAATTCCAAAATCATCATATCAAACATTTGAAATACATTTTCTTATGACAGACACAGTTGTAACAATTTCCCACATCAATTTCTTTTCTCTAGAAACTATTATGCATTAGATTTTTTGAAAAATGTCAAATCACATAGATAAGCATATTTCCACAGATTAACATAGTAACATAACATCTGTCTGACACAAAATACGTAAATTGACAAAGTGGAAGTATTGGGTGAAAAGTTCAGACCTATTTTACGGTAAAAAGTTGAAGAGGAAGGCAGCGAGCCCCTACGGAAATCGGAGAAGCGATCGAGCCACCGTTGTACGGTGGAGGAGAAGTAGTTGCTCCGATCGGCAATCATCAAATTCCGGCGGCGATGATAGTCAACCGCCGCCACTCTGAAGCGATCCCTCAGCCGAAGCCGCAGTGATTTAGCCCCCTCCTCCAGAAGATCGCCTCTGCATTCTATCCACCTCCCCAACGCCATTTCTTAAAATCCACACTCAGAAAAAAAAGAGAAAAAAAAAACAGGATCAAAATCAATTCACTGGTATGATAAATTCGCGGTGCAATGTGTATGGGAGTTGATATTTACAGATCCATGGATTGTGGAAGGGGAAAATAAAGTACAGTTGGGGGTTTGTAACTTGGGAAGGGGGTATGGTCTCTACTACTCTCTAGCGTGAGCAGGAGGAGCGCGGCGCATGATAGTATATAACGGATAATATATGCCGAAGGCGAAGTATCTTTGTGGGCCACGTATCGACGTGGCACAGTGTAAGGAATAAAACCTACAATTTGGATTAAACGTGGCAAGAGTTATACACTTGGGCCCCGTTTCGTTGGGTTTCCGGATATGACCGGCCGTCAGCGCCGGTCTCTGGCGTTAACTTTTTTTTTTTCCTTCAATTTTTATCTGTTTCTTTGACGTTCGTCGTTGAACGTTGATCGTAATTGTATTGTCATTGACAATTATTGTAATTGTGATGTCGTTGACAGCCAGCACATATTGTAAACACAATAATATTATTGTTCAACCACATCAATATTATTATTATTTTTTTGAGTTTTTTTTTTGTTTGATTTGTTGACCAGTGAACGTAATAATATTACTGACTATAACGGTAAAATTACTGTAAACATAATAATAGTATTTTCAACAACATCAATGTTATTATTTTTTGCCCTTTTTATTTTATTTAATTTGTTGACCGATTAACATAATAATATTACTGTGGTTTTGTAATATTACTGTGGTTGACAGTAATATTATTGTTAACCACATCAATATTAATTCTTTTGGTTTTTTATTATGTTTGCATTTGTTGAACGGTCAACATATTAATATTACTCTATAACACAATAATAGTGATTTTCGTAGTCAAAATTGGGTTATGGATCAAAATTGAATAATTGATGAAATTTGGGGTCAAATTGAGGTTAAATTGAATTAAATAATGAAATTGGAGCAGATTAAAATATAAAGGGGGTATTTTAGTCTTTCACACAAAGTCGAACTCGGGATTTATATTCACGCTTAATGGTGGTGCCGTGTGTTGGAAGATTTCCAAACAAAGCACGACGGCCGATTCCACTACCGAAGCTGAATACATTGCAGCGTCCGAAGCTGCAAAGAAAGGGACTTGGATAAGGAAGTTCATCCAAGAGTTGGGTGTCATTCCTAATGATAATGATCCAGTACCGTTGTATTGTGATAACACCGGAGTTGTGGCGCAAGCTAAGGAGCCGAGATCTCATCAGAAGTCCAAGCATATTTTGAGGAAATATCATGTGATCCGAGAGATCATTGATAGAGGTGAAGTTAAAGTAGAACGAGTCACCTCGGAAGAGAACGTTGTAGACCCCTTCACGAAGCCTTTACCAAGGTCGGTCCACGAGAAACATCGAGAGTCGATGGAATTGTGATTCATGGGTAGTTGGCTTTAGGACAAGTGAGAGATTGTTAGAGTAGGTGACCAACAAGCCAACTTGTGGCTGTGGTCTTTCCATTTATTATTGTAATAAACAAGCATTTTTCGTATTAATGATAAAACACCTTGGCATTCTATATTTCGTCCCTTTGTCACAAGCATAGATATAGTCCTTACAGTTATTACAAGTACTAGTAATTGATCATTATGATCGTGAGATATTTACTTTAGTATTATAACTGTTAAACGTGTTCCTAGTCGAAGGGTTACGCCACCAATGAGGATATCGCCCTTCCCATTAAGAGACTAGCACTTAGTGTATGTGTACTGCATCTCATCAGTAAACGGTATTGTGGTATCGGCATGCATAAGTGGGTGCTCGTAAGTTGACGAGTTCACTGAACTCCCTCACCCTAGAAATCTCTAAGTGGTTCTCAATAATCGAGTAGAGATATCTATGGTATAGTTGTACACCATTAGTCCTTATGACCTAGACATCATCGTGACTTCACTAGAGGACCAGCTGTATCGTGACCTGTCCCTAAGTTCCACCGAGGACCACCCCAAGGGCCAATGTTCGTGCAGTCCGAAATCTAGTGGGAGGTATGTGCATTGTAGTCTGGGATTCGATCGCTAGAATAATCTTGGATGTCCTGTGTGTTCTCATAGTTTGTAATCTTTAAGTCTTTGGCCAGAGCTGACTAAGTGATGATTAGAGAATTCGATTCTCTAAGTCATGCACGTACCGATTACAACACTTAGAACGATCGCACAGTCATTGAACTACTAAGGAGGTCTCGATGCACCAATGCCTCTAGTTCAATCGGGACATATGAACCGAAGGGATCGTACTGTACGCTAACTAGATCAAAAGGTTCTTGCAGGCACTTCATTTGTATCTAGGGAATCATGACGCGTAGTTGCAAGACGTCAATCCTGATTCGTTGGGTGATTAAGGTGAAACGAGCTTCATCTTAATCGTAACTATAAGGGACGAGTTTTGACCACAAAGGGTTGTGGGCCCACGGTAGGGGTGGCAATTTCTCAACTTGGACCGGATCCGATCCGGATCCATGTGGATCGGATTCAAAAGGATCCGGATCCAATATCAATCTATATGAATAGATTTAATGTGGATCGAATTTAGACCGATCCGGATTGGATCCAAATGGATCCATTTCATTTTTTATTCAATTTATGAGGTTGAATATCTCAACTTTTAGGATTTAATATCTCAATTTATGTAGTTTAATATCTCAACTTTTAGGATTTAATATCTCAATTTATGTGGTTTAATAATTAATATCTAAACTTTCAAACTCACACATATTCACACACTTTTCATACACAGTTACACACTATCACACACACGCACACACTCATATACACACACTGTTTAACACACACACCCCATTTTACACACACACACACACACACTGTTTTACACACACACACACACACACTGTTTTACACACACACACACACTGTTTTACACACACACACACACTCTATTTTACACATACACACACACATTGTTTAACACACACACACACACTCACATACACACACTGTTTTACACACACTGTTTTACACACACACACTCACATGCACACACAGCTTCTACACACACTCACATACACACACTGTTTACACACACACTGTTTTACACACACACACACACACACTGTTTTACACACACACACTGTGTTACACACACACACACACACACACACTGTTTTACACACACACTGTGTTACACACGCACACACTATTTTACGCACACACACACACAGTGAATCACCTGGAATGATCTTGACACGTGAAAATAAGATATTTGTCATGTTTTTTGAACACAAAAATATTAAAATAAGATCATTAATTTAACAGCCCTAATTTTTTCATCAGAATTAATAATAGCACTTGAGTTGGAAATATATGATCTGCAGCATAATAGTTCTAATAAAATAAATAAATTAATAAATAAATAGTAGAAAAAATAATAATTGCTAAACAAATATAAAATAAAAAATTACCTCGGAATGATTCCCCGGAGACCGGGGCAGCGAGTTATCCGGCGACGAGGAGAAAATATCCGTACATGTCCGAAGCCGATAAAGCACTCCCTCCTCCTCTTCCAGCGTCAACACCGCCGCCGCTGAATTAGCAGCCTCCCCGCCGCCGGATTTCGGGAGCGACGGCTCCGACTTGCTTCTCCTCAGTTCCTTAACATTTTCCGACGGTCTCCGCGGCCTCAAACCACCGGAAGGCCTTATTTTCCGGCGAGAAGGCGACGGCGAAGATCTTGGCGGCGAGCGGCGTGCGAGCGGAGAGGAGGCTGTTGACGGCGGCGAGCGGAGTGGAGGCTGTTCACGGCGGTGAGCGGAGTGCAGGTTGTTGACGGCGGCGAGCGGAGTGGAGGTTGTTGACGGCGGCGGTCGGCGAGGAGCGGTATACGGCGGCGAGGAACGGCGATGGAGGTGGGGAATGGCAATGGGTTGAGAAATTTTTGGGGTGAAATATGAGAGAGACTTTTTTTTGTGAGAAAATTGTGTTGGTATTTGATTGGGTTTTAATTGGGTTTTGATTGGATCCAATATGATCCAATTTATTTTGTGGTTAAACTTTTAATGGATTTAAACTGGATCCACATGGATCCAGTTTTAAAAAAATATCAACCGGATCGGATCCGATTTGTTTCAACTAAACTTAATCTAAACCGGATCCTTATGAACCGAAACGGATCTAATTGGATCCACGGAACCGGATCCAAATTGCCACCCCTAGCCCACGGCTAGCTTACACCTGAACCATCGAGGGTCACATTGCTCGTGGATATGAGATCTTTGAATAAATGGTCAAAGATAAAAATGTTTTATCTTTGCATGATTGGAAGTCAATATGATTGGGTCCAACATTCGTAATTTGGAATTATGAATGAGAATAAGAAAAAGAAAAGAATAGGCGAACATCTTGTGGACTTTCTAAATCGGGAAGTTTCCAAATTTAGAAAGTGCACTGAATTAGGGTTTCCACTTTTAGAAAGTTGGAAATCGAGAACTGGCACTCTTAATGACGAGGACATTATAATGATTCCGAAAATGTAATCGTTACAATTTTCCGATCATAAGAATTGAGAGAAACGAGCGAGTAAAGAACTAACGAGTTTAAGCTGTTGGGCCCGGTCCAACTTAAGCCCGCTAGGGCTTTTATGCAAGACACTATAAATACTTGATTTATAGGTCTTGCAAAGAAAGAACCCTAATATGAAACCCTAGCTGCTCTCATCTCTCTCTCGGCCGATTTCAACCCGCGGCCACCACCGCCGTCGCCGCCGCCAACTCGCTGGAATCGGCCACCCCTTGGCCGATCGTCTTGGTAGTTCTTTTCTCTTTTTGTTTCTTCCGTTTTATTCTAACTATTTCGTGTCTAGTGCCACGTTTTAGTAGATCGAAGTATACGAGGTGAAATCCGAGAGGAGGAAGATTGAAGAATCGAAGAATCGAGGCGCAGCCCCGAGCCAACGACGCACGCGCTCCCACGCACCGCCCGAAGACAGCGCGTGAACCTCACGCGCCGCCGTTGCTCACGCCGTCGCCGTCGCCGCTTCGCCATCGTCGCTCCCAGATTGCACGGATTGGTTTCCGTGGCAATCTTGCTTCGTTTCGTGCGCCTACCTCACGCTTCAAGAGGTAAAGTTTCGAATCCGTAGTTATTCGATACTAATTTAATTAGATTAAATTATGCATGTTCGTATCGTAATATGTTTTATGAATTTATAT